GCAGAGAAAGGCGAGTTGCAGGGTTGAGATGATTGCAGGGAGAGAGTGTGATGTGGGAAGAAGCCAGTAACAGGATTTCGTAAGAGATAAGATAGCTTGCGGAAAGGTGTCGAGTGTGATGGGAATGTAATAAAGCTTCCATTGCCGGAGGAACATCAGTGCAGAGGAAGAGCCCATGACGATTTCTTCTGTGGATGTGGTAAGAGCTGCTGTGGCTGCAATGGCTCTCCTGCAAGGAGAATGTCCTTTGGCTACTGGGTCTAATGAGGCTGTAATGGCCATGCTCAGGAAAAGCAACATGCTTGTTACAAATTCGTTAGCTGATCAAGTAGACCCCCAAAGGAACTCTGAAGGGAAGAATAGATTTTTGTTAGTCCTCTAAAATAATTTTACTAATTATATACATAATACACAATTACCTTGTCCTCATTAAAAAGAATTACAGCCCTAGCCGGTTTGGCTCAGTGGATAGAGTGTCGGCCTGGGGACCAAAGGGTCTTGGGTTCGATTCTGGTCAAGGGCACGTACCTTGGTTGCAGGCTCCTTTCCAGCCTGGACCCTGTTGGGGCGTGTGCAGGAGGCAACCAATCGATGTGTTTCTCTCAATCGATATTTCTCTCTGTCTTTCCCTCTCTCTTCCACTCTCCCTAAAAATCAATGGAGGATTAACAACAACAAAACAGTCCTATATAATAAAAGGCTAATATGCAAATCAACCAAAAGGCAGAACGACTGGTGGCTATGATATGCACTGACCACCAGGGGGCAGATAATCAATGCAGGAACTGCCCCCCTGGTGATCAGTGCACTCCCACAGGAGGAGTGTCACTCAGCCAGAAGCTGGGCTCACTGCTAGCAAGTGCACTGGCGATGGCGGGAGCCTCTCCCACTTTCGTGGCAGCACTAAGGATGTCCTTTCGTGGCAGCACTAAGGATGTCCAACTGACGGCTTAGGCCCACAGGGAGGACCTAGGCCATCAGTCAGACATCCCCTGAGGACTCCCAGATTGCGAGAGGGCGCAGGCTGAACTTAGGGGACCCTCCCCCCACCAAGTGCATGACTTTGGTGCACTGGGCCTCTAGTTACATATAAAAGTAAGTCACATTCACTCTTTCCTCCCTCCTCACTCTTATCAATTTGGGCTTTATCTTTTCAGACCACTTTCTATATATTTAAGTGCACATATATACTTGCAGAAAACATGCAGTGTTTCTGTTTTGTTTCATGCTGTTGTTCTGTTTTACGTAAAGGATACCTGGAATGGCTTGCTCTGCCATGTGTCTAGGGGAGCATCCATATGAGTTCATGTTGACTTACCTCATTTTCCCTCCACCTCATCCTTTTCAACTATTGCAGACTCTTTGATAAATGGCTGTTTCATAATTTAAGAAGCCATTTTCCTATTGGTGGATGTCTACATTGTGTTTAATTATTTAATTTTTTACTCCATTATGCCTTAACCGTTCTTGGACACATCTCTGAGTGCATGTGTGCAAGATTCCTAGGATGGATAATGATCTGTGGTGTTTCTGGGTCGCCTGGCTTTTAGGATGTTACCAGAGATTGCCCAATTTTCTCCCAAGCAGCCACAGACTACTTTCCCATCCAACAGCAGTGTGCGAGGTCCTCATTTCTGTTCTTGATGGTGTGTTCTTGCAAGTAAAGGTGCATTTCTTCACTGAAATTCTTCTAGTCACAATTTTTTACTGATTTGTACCAAATACCCCCCCAAGGAGGTTTGATGATTCTTTTAATTCATGCTGGTGACGTTGGTAAAGCACCCAAGTAATTCACAAGCACTCCTTTGCTTTGGCCTTAAATATGATTTGTAAGCAGTATTGATTTGCACTCAGAGGGAGACGCTGTCTAACATACGCCTCTGCTGAGAGAAGAGTAGCTAGCTCATTCACAATTCTAGGCCTGGGCAGACAGGCCAAGGGCTTATGCAAGGAAAGGCGTTTACAAGAAGGGCAAGTGTTTGCATGCCTGTCGATATTGTCACATGTCCTGTGTTTCCACGTTTTGTGGTGACAAGTCCTTCTCCCCTAGTTTCTGAGCTCTGCAGTGTCAGTCCCAAACCTTCCACAGAGGAACGATTCGAAGAACGTCATTAAGCTGCTATTTATGGAGCCGTGGGCTTTGCATTTTTCTTTAATCTTCACACCTCTCCATTCTTATGTTATCTAGTAATTTTACAGAATAGAAAACTGAGGTTCAGATGTTAAATAGTTCATCTAAGGTGAAAATAGGATGGAAACCCAAGCCTACCAGGCTCTACATCTTTATGATCTGTTTTAACGTAGACAAAGTTAAGCAGAAAATGAGACAATCATGATATGGGACGACAGCGATGGTAGAAAGGCTGTAACAGGGACAAATATGGGAAGCATGTGAGAGTTAATAATGAAACAAATTCATGTATAATGTAGAGTTCTTTACAGTTTATAACAAATTACATGTGCAGTATAATATAGTGGTTAAGATGGCCTGGCTTCAAATCATGGGTCTGCCACTTGCTAGCCATGTAACTTTGGGAAAGTTACTTAACCTCTCTGTGCCTTAGTCTTCTCATCTACAAAGCAGAAATTAAAAAATAACTCATATTTCATTGGGTTGTTGTAATGATTAATAAGATAGTGTTTGTGAAGCAATTAGAATGGTGCCTATACATAGTAAACACCATAAGAGTTTGTCATTACTATCTTTATTATTGTATTTGGTCTTCATTGCTGTTATTCCCATTTTACCGGTGAGGGAGGTGAAGCAACTAACCCAAGATCATGGAGTCAGTCAGTGACAGACCTGGACCGGAATCTGGGTCTCTGCCTTCCTGAGTGGGGATTTTCCACTCCTAGCACTGCCTCCCAACTTTACAAATACAAGCAGAGGGGTCATTGCAGGCTTGGAATGTCTGTGCAAGAAAAGGCGGAGCCAGACACAATTCATGCTCTTTTCTTCCTGAGAATCAAAGAAGGATCTGTCGAGAAAGAATTTCAGGAACTTGAGTGCAGTGTGTAACACATTCCACAACAATTCAGTCCAATTTCGTTTCATGAATTTTTACTAACGTGTGAATCTTCCTTTTCAATCTATTTGTCTTTCCCTTCATCCCAGTCCCAGCAATCACCATCACCATCACCATCACCTATCTTTGGACACCTAGAGGGGCCTCCTACCTGGCATTCCACCTTTAACCCATTCTCTCCACTATAGCCAAATACATATTTCTAAAATAGACCTGATCATGTCAGTTCCGATTAAAATCCTTCCATGGCTCCCCATGGCTCTAAGGCTTTGGAATAAAACTCTTTCACATGCCCTGTGAGGCTGTCCAAAGCTGAGCCTGCCTTCTGCTTCTGGCCTCATGGCTCAAGCCCTGTGCTCCTATTAGATTGCACTTCCTTCAGTTCCTCTGATCTGAGCTTCAGTGTTGGATACACAGTCCCTTTTGCTTTGAGCTTTCTCAGTCTGGACAAGTCCTACTCATCCCTTAAGCTTCTGCTTAGAACTCAGACCTTCTGGGAAGCCTTTTTGCATTAAAAAAAATAGATTAAAAATATACATATATACATTTTTATTGATTTCTGAGAGGAAGGGAGAGGGACAGAGAGATAGAAACATCAATGATGAGAGAGAATCATTGATTGGCTGCCTTCTGCATACCCTACACTGGGTATTGAGCCCATAACCTGGGCATATGCCCTGATTAGGAATTGAACCGTGACCTCCTGGTTCTTAGGTTAATGCTCAACCACTGAACCACCGCCGGGCCCTTTTTGCATTTTTCACTCCATTTTTCCTTACAGCACCCTGTGCCTCCTCCTTGACAGCATTTGTCATGGAGTATTATTGTAATTGCTGTGTCCTTGCCTGTGTCCCAGTAGAATCTGGGCTTCCTGAGGGCAGCTGTTATGTCTCCTTGCTTTAGTATTACATCTGGCACCAGCACAGGCCTGAAATGAGAGTTCTTTACACATCCTATATAATAAAAGGCTAATATGCAAATAACCAAATGGTGGAATGACGGGTCACTATGATGCGCACTGACCACCAGGGGCAGACACTCAATGCAGGAGCTGCCCCCTGGTGGTCAGTGTGCTCCCACAGGGGTATGCTGCTCAGCCAGAAGCTGGGCTCACCGCTGTCGAGCACAGTGGCAGTGGTGGGAGCCTCTCCTGCCTCCGTGGCAATGCTAAGGATGTCCGACTGACGGACATCCCCCCAGGGCTCCCGGACTGCGAGAGGGCACAGGCCAGGCTGAGGGACGCCCCCCTCAAGTGCATGAATTTCATGCACCGGGCCTCTAGTCAAAGATAAATACAGATGTTAATTGAAACTGAAGAAGTGGGAGCTATTGCCGAAGAGGAGCGGAGATGAGGGAGCAGAAGGGATTGCTGATGGAGTCAGCTTCCAGAGTAGGTGGGTGTGGAATAAGATGACCAACTGTCCTGGTATACCAGGGACTGTCCTGATTTTAAAACGGCAACTCCTGTGTCCCAGGAAGACCCTTACCCACAGGTCTGGGCAAACCTATGCTGGAATGAAGAGTACCTCTCCCTTGAATTATGAGGGACAGTAGAGTCGAGAAGGGCAGGTTAAATCAACAAAGTGAATGGCTTTGGAACCAGGGGAAAGCTCTGCATCAGAGCTGTGTGAGCTTGAACATAGTTCACCTCTCAGTTTCCTGTAATTTGGGACAGTTAAACAAGAATGAGTCATGTGAAAACGCCTACCCCAACTGCAGGCTCACAGCTAGAATTAAAAGTGTTCGTGTCTATTCTTTCCTCACTTTTGCCGCTAGTCTCACCTCTCACTCTCCCTTCATCTACCCTTCCTCTCGACTTTTTCATTTGTTCTCTGGACTCACTGGCTCCTCACTTGGAAGACCATCCGCCGCTAGGGGGAAGCGCGGAGCAAACAAGGATGGGCGCCTCTCTAGCCCAACCGGGGGAGCGCTCTATGGCGCCGACCCTCCACCTGCGCGAAGGGGGCGGGGCCCTGCCACGTGACCTGGATGCCCGGTGTCGGCGCAGACGCGGCGGCCGCGTCGTCCGCTCCGCGTCCCTTTCCGTGCACCGGAGCTGCCGCCCCGCGGTCCTGCGGCTGTTCCTCCCGCCGCTGCGGGCCGCGGGGCCGAGGCCATGTCCCGAAAGCAGGCGGCCAAGAGCCGGCCGGGCAGCGGCAGCCGGAAAGCCGAGGCCGAGCGCAAGCGGGACGAGCGGGCGGCGCGCCGGGCCCTGGCCAAGGAGCGGCGGAACCGGCCGGAGTCCGGCGGCGGCGAGGAGGAGTTCGTGAGCTTCGCCAACCAGCTGCAGGCCCTGGGGCTGAAGCTGCGGGAGGTGCCGGGGGACGGGTGAGGCGGGCCCGGGAGCGCGGGAGGCGGCGCCGGGGGGCGCCCCGGGCTTGGCGACCGTCGCCCGCTCTCGTCCACCCACTCATTCGGGCGGCCCGGGCGCCGGCCGCTCCCCGGGGCAGGGGGTCCCGCGGCGGGCGAGGCGGCGAGGCCGCTCCCCGGAGACCTCCGGTACCACCCCCACCCCCCGCTCGTGGCGGAGGCCGTGGGGAGGCTGGCAGGCGGTCCAGATCGAATACCGGGGCAGGTCTCCTGTCGGTCGGTGCCCGGGAAGGCCTCTGAAAGGTGACATTTCAGCTGGTTCCTGCAGGGATGGGAGCGAGCAGCCGCCTGGAGAGCGGGCTCACCGACGGTCGGACGCGTGGAGGCGTGGTCCCTGGGTGCAGCGCTTTGAGTCCTCACCTCCCCCGTTTGGGAAAGGAGTTCTGTGAGCGCCCGTTGTCGCCGAAGCCAACTTCTCTAATTCTCCCATGGGCTTCAGTTTCTTCCCTGCAAGCCAAGCTTCCTTGGGGATCGGACTGGAGTCTAGGTCCAGCCTTTTTAGGGGACGCGGGGTAAATAAATGGGTAGGAGGGGAGAAAGGAAGGAAACAGGGCTCCGGAAGGGGGTGTGGAAGCAGGAGCATGGAGGGGAGAAGGAAAGGGGAGGCAGGGAGAGGGGCGGAGAGCGGTTATAGTGGATCCTGTTGATGAACTGGCTCCGATGCCCTTTCCCGTGTTTCCTAGTGTTCTCAGTGCTTCAGGCTAATAGGGTTTCGTTTGATTACATTGTATTCACCACCACCTAGCGCAGTGCCCAGGACACAGAGGCATTCAGTGCATTTTTGGTGAACGAATGAATGAATAATAGCAGTAGCGAGGGAGGCCAGCGAGACCCTCAGCGGCGCCTCTCAAAGGGGCATTTCCTTAGTGGAGTCACTACAGCTAAGGACTTGCTTTGCTGGGTCTTGCTTTTCACCTAGTGTCCTAGTACCTTGATTTTGGTCAGATATGAAGTTTTTTTTTTTTAATTTTTATGTATTTATTTATTTATTTTTAACAATTCAGGGCCTTACTTATTTTAATCAAACTCACAAGCAAAAAGGCACTGCTATCTACAGCCAAGTACCAGTTGAATACAGGGGGATTGGGGTGGGGCTACTCCTTGCAAAGGATTGGCTTGCTTGTGTTTGCTCTGCTGGGCATGGTATTCTCAATGTTAGGGTGCCAAGGAAACGGAAGTACTCAACAGAAGGTTGCTTAGAAATCACGCCACAGGGAGTTGTAAAGTCTTGAAGGAGTTTCCTGTTGCTATGGGAAACTTTGGGGGTGCTATCTCCCCCTCACCACCAGCCACCAGAGAGAGCATACTTCAGTTAGTTCAGCAAACATCGGTTAAGCAAGGAGCTGGGAATACATTGATGACTGAGATACTTAAGGAGCTCATAGCCTCGGAAGAGAGAAACATAATAGCGGGTCTCCAACATTTTGGCCTTGGGACCTTTACACTCTTAAAAATGACCGGGGACTCCAGAGAGCTTTTGTTGGTGTGGGTTACAGCTAGCAATATTTACTATATGTGAAAGTAAAAGAAAATTTTTAAACCAAGAATACACAAACATTCCATTGGCCGTCAGAGTGATAACCTCATTTATCAGACAGCCTCTGGAAAACTCCACTGTACACTTGGGAGAGACCGAGAGTGAAAAAGATAAATAACATCTTGGTTTTGAACTCACAGAATCCCTGAAAGGGTCTCAGAGGCACTTTTCCCCACACCCTTAAACTGGGCCACACTATGAGAATGGATTATGTAAATAATTAAGATAAAGTTGATTGTATTCTTAATAGTGATGGATTATCGTGGCACTGTTGAGAAGGAAGCGGCTAACACTCCCTGAAGTGGTCAGGGAGGCTTCATTCAGAAATTCCCATTGAAACCTGTGCTCTGCTAGATGCCTCTCAGAGGAGGTCACGTACAGACCGGTCATGAAGGATCAATAGGAATACGCCAAGAGAACTTTCCAGGCTGAGGAGTAACAACTGTAAAGGCACCAGCGATCGACAAGTTGTTTAGGATGACAGGAGTGTAGGATACAAGGGTAGAAGTCAGGGCCAGTGAGGTGCAGAGGCCAGAGGCCAACTTGACTGGAATGCTTGTTTTCACCTCCAAGGTCTTTATTCTTTGGACAGTGTTAGGGAAAACGATAATTCCTCTTCTGTGGGCTCCACGCGGCTAACAGATTCTTCCCGTGGGTACATGAGGTGGACTCCCCTCATTAGAATTGTACTTTTGGGGATGTGATAGGTTTTATCCATCCCTACAGTGGATGGTGTTTCCTTTGTATGTGACGGGCTGGCAGGTATCAGCATATTCTTTTACTAACATTTATTGAGTACTCTTTGGTGAAATATAATAAAGTTTTGGTAACATAAGAAATGCTTGACAGTCTTCACTCTTCTGTCTTTCCATTCCGGTCTGATGACAACATTGAGTAGCCTGAGAGAGCATCTTGCTCTGCAGGCATGTTCATTGTTGATGGTGTGGTATCGTGGCACTCTGGAACCTCCGGTCCTTGGGGATAAATTAGCTGGTATCCTCCGAGTCTAATGTTTCCGTTAGTTTAGTCAGTTTAGCAGAGATTAATTAGGGAGCTATTTACGGGGTTTTGTAATGCATCATGGGCCACCTTCAGATTTGTTATGTTGTTTGAAGGTGGACCCACATAAATTGGATTCAATTTCAAAACAAAAGAGACATTTTAACTTGGATGTTGTCCTGAAAAACATCATTGGCTATAGGGTGAAAAGAACCTCTAATTGGATTAGGCAGTACAAACAACATTAGCATCTCTCTGAGCTCTATCCAGTTACATCTTACTAAATGTAGCATAAATTACATAACTAATTAGTAGTGTTCTAAAATTAAAACATTGAAGAATCACTAATTTAAGCCATTTATCTCTGTCCCAAAACAAGTTGTTTTATTTTTTATTTTGTTTTTAGCACTGTAGGATCTTGGTGATGGAAGGGCATTTACACGCCATCTTGCCTGTCTATTAGTTACCTGCATCGCCAGTGCAGCAGCCTCAGCTTTTGTTGTGGGCACAGTGGTTGTCAGCCCTGGTGGCACAATAGAATCACCTGGGGAACTTTGGAAAAAATAAGTGTCTGGGCTCTCCCCTAGATCAGCAACACCAGAATCGCGGGCAGTGCAGCCTGGTTACTGACGATTTTTGAAAAGGTCCACAGGTGATTCTTGCGTGCAGTCATAATTAAAAGCCAATTATTGATAAGAGTCTAGATCAGGGGTGGGCAAACTTTTTGACTCGAGGGCCACAATGGGTTCTTAAACTGGACCGGAGGGCCGGAACAAAAGCATGGATGGAGTGTCTGTGTGAACTAATATAAATTCAAAGTAAACATCATTACATAAAAGGGTACGGTCTTTTTTTTCAATAGTTTTATTCATTTCAAACAGGCCGGGTAGTTTGCCCACTGCTGGTCTAGATTCTAGACCAGCCTTCTTTTGCCTAAACATTAGTCATTGTGTATGTTCTTCTTCTTAGGCATTTTAAAACCACATCATTTTACCTGAACATGTCTCTTAAAATGGAGTAACTAGAATGGTACCCAATATTCTAGCTGATCTCAAAGAATGGAATCTGTCCCCCTCCTTTTTCTGCACATGGGCTAGTATTACTGCAGCCTAGGAGCCCATTAATTTTTTTGATGTCTGTCTTACAAGAGTGGCCCATGCTAAATTATCAAGCCCTTAAAACCCTTACCACTTTGTGTACTTGGTGGTTTTGTGAACTCAGATACAAGACCTTTATATATATATATATATATATATATATATACACACACACACACACACACACACACGTATATATCCCTGTAGCACAGTCGTTCTTAAGTGGGGATGATTTTGGTCCTGGGCGAACGTTTGGCAATGTCTCGAGACATTTTTGTTTGTCACAACTGGCAGGGAGGAAGGTGATGGTGGTGGTGCTACTGGTTGGTAGAGGCCAAGGATATTCCTAATAAACATTCTGCAGTTAACAGGACAGCCCCCACAGCAAAGAATTATCCCCAAATGTCAATAGTGTGGGGTTTAGAAGCCCTGCTGTGGTGTGGGGGTGAGGGCGTGGACTCAGGAAACGGTGGGATCTTCCGAGAGGTCCTTTGAGCAAGGACACTGTTCTCAGCGTGCTCTCTCTACGGGCTCCCTAAGGCAGTGATGGCGAACCTATGACACGCGTGTCAGAGGTGACATGCGAACTCATTTTTTGGTTGATTTTCTTTGTTAAATGGCATTTAAATATATAAAATAAATATCGAAAATATAAGTCTTTGTTTTACTATGGTTGCAAATATAAAAAAATTTCTATATGTGACACGGCACCAGAGTTAAGTTAGGGTTTTTCAAAATGCTGACATGCCGAGCTCAAAAGGTTCGCCATCGCTGCCCTAAGGGAACTCAGTTGCCTGTAGTGATTGTTCACATTTCCTGTGTCCTCACCTTGCAGCTGTCAGAAAAGGAAGTGATTTTCTATCTTGATTTTAAATTTTGACTGTTTTGAGTGATCTCAGGAAAGTTTGGTAAATATAGAAAAGTATATTAAAATAATATATAATTTAACATTTATTTGTAATTCTATTACCTAGGAGTAACTACAGCTGACATTTTGGTGGCTGGGTTTGAATTCTGACCCACTACATACCAGTTATGTGACCTTGAGCGGGTTACCCTAGGGCAGCGGTTCTCAACCTGTGGGTCGCGACCCCTTTGGGGGTCGAACGACCCTTTCACAGGGATCGCCTAAGACCATCGGAAAACACATATATAATTACATATTGTTTTTGTAATTAATCACTATGCTTTAGTTATGTTCAATTTGTAACAATGAAAATACATCCTGCATATCAGATATTTACATTACGATTCATAACAGTAGCAAAATTACAGTTATGAAGTAGCAACGGAAATAATTTTATGGTTGGGGGTCACCACAACATGAGGAACTGTATTAAAGGGTCGCGGCATTAGGAAGGTTGAGAACCACTGCCCTAGGGGGATAGTACCTAGCTTAGCGTTGTGAAGACTAAGCACTTTCAATACCTGTAAAGTGTTTCAGCAGTGCCTGGCACATTGTAAGAGATGTTTAATTTTCTTTGCATACATTTGTGTGTAGTGTGCAGATGAACACATTTGAGCTCATGCAATGTAGTTTTATACCTACTTTTTTGGCTTATATGGAGAACATGTGCCCATGTTACTAAAAGTACTTAGAAAGCATGTCACTTTTGTAAAACATTATGCATTTTGATATATTAAATATTAAAGAACTAAATACACAATTTTGGGCTAAGTGACACCTTTTAAGCTAGATTAAAGAATAGACCTAAAGGTTTAAGAAAAGTTTGGGAGAAAAGCTTAAAATTGAGAACGCTTTATTCATTAGCCTACTTCCCCCTCCCCCATGGTTGAACAAAGACTGCCATTGTTAGATTTCAGCAACAAGACACCTCATCTAGCATACAACTGCTGTATTCCAGTCCCTTCTAGAATCTTGCCTCAGATTGATGCAAAGCTTCTTGGTTTTCAGTTTATAGAATCTGTCATCTTTAAATATTTCCTCCTCCCCTTGCAAAAAAAATAGTATGAATCCTTACACTTTTGAAGAGATGCCTGCCTCTGTATAACTTTCTATTGAAAGTTCATTTTTCTGAATAGAAAAACAAAACCTCCTTTCTCGTATGCATTTGCGTCTGAAAGTCCTTCTGGAAGTGGTAAGCTTATATTTTGTAATTAGAGTGTCATGGGTTTTCATTTGGAAGAGGAAACAGTTTGGTGTGAAACTGGGCAACTGTTTGGCTTCAGAATTTTTTATTTCCTTAGTTTTAAGGATACCAGATTATGTTTGTTTCTGAGTATCTGGGCTCTGTGTTTGTGATATAGTTTGGAATTTTAGGAACCTTTGAGGGGTTTGAAAGTAATGATAAGTCTTAAGGTTTATTGCCAGCATTTTAATTTTAGAGACAAAACGAAGTGAAAATTGTGTTGAAAGTTTCCATTGAGCAGGACTCACAGGAGCATTGCGGCTCCCTGGGTGAGAAGTGAGCCCAGGAAGAGGGAAGTGTCATGGTGTAGTACGCCTATGCATTCATGGGCCAAGTACCTTTCATGGTTTCTCCACTGTGTTCTTTAGACTTAAACAGGATGCTGAGTTCAGTTGTTTGTGTTGGGAGTTTGACAAATGACTACCTTTTGGGGACTCTGTGTTAGGTGAATGACTAGTCCGCTGGGCAGCTATCCTGAAACTTGTTTCAGGAAAGAGGCAGTAGATACACTTTATCATTTTGGAAGAGCATATGGGAATCAGAGCCCTTGAGAAATGGCCTGTAGTGTCTGGACCCTGTCTTCAGGTGGTTAGTGTGTCACCAGCCTCACTTGTGGAAGCAGCTGAGGCCCAGGGATGTTTAATGACTTTCCTGAGTCGGCCAGCTGGTAACTAGGGAATAGAGTTCTTGTTGGTGCCTCTTATGGAGGTAATGTAGTGGACATGTGCCCTAGTGCTCTCCCTCAGTATCTGGGAAGAATCATGGAGTGTCAGATTAAGGCTTTCTCTTGTCTCTGCGTGGAGGATTTCCATGGATGGCCTGGCATGAAGCATTGTTGTTTTCCATGAACCAAATTAATTTTTAAAAGGTTGTGACCAACATTTTTGTTTTGATAGTAATTGCCTGTTCAGAGCTCTTGGTGATCAGTTGGAGGGACACTCACGAAATCATCTCCAGCACCGACAAGAGACCGTAGACTACATGATCAAGCAGCGGGAAGATTTTGAACCCTTTGTAGAAGATGACATTCCCTTTGAGAAGCATGGTAGGTTCCCCGTGGGACACTGGATCCTCCAGGAATAATACATTGGTAACTAAATCCTTCAGCATCCCCCACCCTCCCAGCCAGGGATTTGGTTACATAAACTATGGCATGTATTCAACAAATATTATTTGTCTGCTCTGTAATAGGCAACATGCTAGGCAGTTGGGATTCAATAGGTTTAGATGAGTATGCCCTTAATAACAATGATGATTGATTTTTATTGACTTGAAAAGCTGTTCATGACTTCTTATTCAATTGGTGTGGCGGGGGAAGCAGGCTGTAAAATACATTGATCCTATTTTTAAAAGGTATACACACAGAGAAGCATACTAGAAAAATTCTAGAAAGATACTAACATTTTATGATTGTTTATTCTTGGCTCCACTTATTTTTTACTCCCTTTAAACTTCTGTAAAGGGGAGATAATAATAGCACCTATTATAGGCTTTTTTGATGAAGATTGAATGATATAATTAAAATAAATTCTTAACTATTTGTCATCTGGGGATGATGGGTCTGTGCATATTTTAAAGTATCTTCTATAGATATTTCGGATTTTAAATGATCCTGTTATTACTTTTTAACCAGAAAAATTAATGAAGTCATTTTAATTTCTCACCCAAACCCCAAACACAACCTGTTTTCTTTGAGGCAAATTATTTAGTGATTTTAATTAGTTCCTTGTAGGCACAAATCTAGTGAGAAAGTACATAGGAACTTTTAAACTTTAATTTGACAATTATTTACTGAGGATGTTCTGTGCTAGGTGCTGATATATTTATGTTTTACAATAACATTTTTATCACAGAGTTCAGTCTTATCTGTCTGTTATCAGGAAAGAGAGAGAGAATATTCCCCGTGTGTTAGAGTGCTAACTCTGGGAACCATGTCAAGAAAGAACAGGGAGAGAGACTGAGAAGGGAGGTGAGCTAGGAGCTCTCTGCATTGGCCGGATGAAAGAGTAAGAGGTTCTCCAAAAGGCAGCTGCTGGGGATGATGAGCAGGGTCCAGACCAAGATACAACTGGTAGTAGAATTGACAGGACTCATTGGGGGTGGAGAGAGGAGGCAAAAGTGATTCTGAAGATTCTGTTGGGGAATGGCTAGGTAGAGGGCCATAGGAGGAAGTCATTGGGGAGGTGAGGGGGGAGCTATCAGTGATTCATTACTCAGAAGGGAAGAACTCATTCACTAGGCACAGCAACAAAACTCCCACTGAGTAGTTGATAGTATTCACTGAGTTAATGGTCCCTCTCTCTGATCACTTTTTGTTTAGCACATAGGTATACAGTTTACCAGGTGGTCAGCAGTTTACAAATTAAATGCGGGTATATGGGGCATGTTTTGTAATTTAGCTCAATAAAATGAATTGTGTCATTGGTCCAATTAAAATATTTTTGATGAAGTGAGCTTTTAGTTTGTGACTTGGAATTCCACTTTGAACATCTTGAAGTGGTTGATTTGGAGGTATGACTGGGTAAGGGACTTGTGTCCAGTGTGGTAGTCACTTTAGATGTACAATGGGCAGTTGTTTTCTTGAAATGTCACTGTGTGTTCCTGATCGCTGGTTGGTGCTTCATAAAGAATTTGAGCTTTAAAGCGAGGAGTGGCTCTGACTGCCCTGGCAGAAGTGGAAAGAAACCTAGATGTCTGCACATTATGTTTGTGTGCCAGGTGAAGTCTAGGCTTATTACATTATCCCTCGTATCATAGTGACGCGTTTTTAACGTCTGTCTACCTTGTTTCACTGAGATTCTTGAGGGCAGGGACTGTGTCTCTTCCCCAACCTGGTAATAGTAGGCACTCCTAAGATGTTTGTTGAATGAATAAATGAATGGCTCGCTTAACTTTTCAGGACATGGTTACCCTGCATCTGGCTGTATATTTTAGAATTATTCTTTTCCTTTAGACTGGCTTTGGAGAAGCAGCAACATGTTTTCTCCAATTGTACAAATATCCAGATCACAATCCTCAATATTCTTAATGCTCCTCTCCCTCCCTTCTCGTACCCAGTCATTCATTAAGTCTTGTTACATCTACCTTGATATCTTTTCTCTCACTGCTACCATCTTGTAAAATCAGGCCTCTGTGGTCATTAGCCTAGATTTCTTCAATACTTTTTTAGCTTGTCTCATTGCTACTTGACCCATTCAGTTTGGGTTTTTTTGCAGCTGGAGTAGTGACCTAAAAATAAATCTTTCCCCTATCTACAACCCATTGGCTGCTCCCCATTGACCTCAGTCAGGATAAAGGCCAAACTCTTGAGCCCTTTGCTATCTGTGATTTTCTTATTTCTCTATTCTCACCTCCCACCCTGCTGTCTTAGCATTCTAAATTTCTGCAAAACTGTATAGTCCACAGACTCATGTATCTACCCCACTCATCTCTCCTCTCTCTCCTCTGCTTGGAACATCATTTCTCTTCTGTCTCCTGTCATTTGGGAATTAGCTTAGTTGTCTAAGTCAAGAAGCTTATCTGATACACCTTACCATCCCCTCCTCACTACCAAACTGACTTATGCTCCCAGACCTGGAGTTAGCTAAGCTGAAAGGTTTTAGGGCACAGTCTTTCCCAAGACTTCCCTCACTTCTGACACCAATTAAGTTTGGGGTTTCCTGAACCGCTCTCAGGCTCAATGATTTGCTATAAGGACTCACAGAACTCACTGAAGGCCCTTATACTCACAGGTATAGTTTATTATATGGCGAGGTTATAGGTCAAAATTAGCCAAAGGGCAGAGTGGGAAGGTTCCACACACAAAGCTTTTCTTGTCCTCAGGATGCATCCTCCTCCTGGCATCCATGTGTGATAGAGTATTGTCAGCCACGAAGCTCACCTGAACTTTGGTGTCCAGAGTTTTTATTGGCATTTCATGGTGTGGGTTTGATTGATTGCCTAGCTCCCCAGTTTCCAGATCTGGCTGACATCGCATGGTCAGAGAGGCACCTCATTAACTTAAACTGTCAGGTGTGGCTGAGGAGCCCACTGTGAATAACAAAGACATTCCTATCACTTGGGAAATTTGAAGGGTTTGGAGCAGTGGTTCTCAACCTTCCTAATGCCGCAACTCTGTAATACAGTTCATGTTGTGGTAACCCCCAATTTCATTGTCACAAATTGAACATAATTAAAGCATAGTGATTAATCACAAATACAATATGTAATTATACATATGTGTTTTCCGATGGTCTTAGGCGACCCCTGTGAAAGGGTCATTTGACCCCAAAAGGGGTCGCAACCCACAGGTTGAGAACTGCTGGTTTAGAGGTTATCTCTCAGGAGCCAGGGATAAAGGTGAGACCTTTCTTTGGGCAAGGCCAGATTCTTTACCATACATCCTTTCCTATAGCAGTTATATGCTTCAGTAGTGCCTGTTTTCTTGCTTGCCCTCATTGGTTATAAACTTCTGAAGGGCAAACTGACAGGCTGTGTAATGGAGTTGCCAAAAGCCAAGATCTTGGAGTCAGGATGCCTGGTATTGTGACCTTACTCTGTGCCTCATCTCTAAGATGGTGTGCATGATAATGCCTGCCAGAGGATTGTTTTGAGGATTACTAGTAAAAGTGATAATCCATGCAGAGTAGCACAGTGCTTGACACATAATATGAATTCATTAATGCAAACTGTTATAATCACTGCTTATTGTTAAATTTCCCGGGTCTTTTATAGAGTGAGGCTTATAGGAAATATTTAGCAAATAGTTGTTGAAAGAGTAACTAAACGAATCCTTTCTTTAGAATGGTTGGTGCCCTTGTGAGTAGCACTGGGCATATGCTCGAACATCTGAGTTCCTAGACTCTGACAATGCGAATAGACTTTTTAGATGTCTACCCTTGTATCTCATTATTTGGAACTAAGTACTAAAACATATTTGCGTTTGGATTTTTCCATTATGAAGACTTCATGTTTTTCTCTCTCCTATTTCCATGCAGTGGCCAGTTTGGCAAAGCCTGGTACATTTGCTGGCAATGATGCAATTGTAGCCTTTGCAAGAAATCATCAGTTGAATGTGGTGATTCATCAACTTAATGCCCCTTTGTGGCAGGTAGGTCACCTATTCAAGAGTTAATCTGGCCCTGGCCAGTTTTGCTAAAGTGGTTAGTGGGTCAGCCCACACACTGAAAGGTCGTGGGTTCAATTCCCAGTGAAGGGCTTGTACCTGGGTTGCAGGTTCAATCCCTGGCCCCGGTTGGGGCGCATGTGGGAGGCAACCAATCTATGTGTCTCTCTCACATCAATGTTTTTTTCTCTTTCTCTTTGTCCTCCTCCCTCCCTCTCTTCTTCTTTCTCTAAAACTCAATGGAAAAAATATACTTGGGTGAGGATTAACAAAAACAAAACAAGAGTTTATCTGAAGCTCTTCATTATAACTTAGCTTTTAGGATGTCCTAAGACGATGAGGCATGACCTGTGCTATTGAACAGGGTAACTTGGAATGTGAGCCTAACCAAAGACCAGAAGCGTTTGGTGGCTTGGGAGTACCCTGTGCCAAGTTCACATGGAGTCTGGAGTATAATTCAGAAACCTTTAAATGCCAGAAACATTATTCAGCAGTCAGTTAACTGGGTAGTTTGGGGCAGAGAGCCTAATGTGGAAATACTGTCTATAATTCTGTAAAATATCCAAGCGAGGTTTTAAAAGACTAGTACATACAAATTTAGTTTTGAAGTATGCCTAGTCACTCAGGTATGTTTGTGTTTTTTAGGTGGAGGGACCCAGAGACCAAATTTACTGTACCAACCATTGCTAAAAAGGATGTTCAGAACAACAAAATTTATTTCATGGCCTAGGACAGTGGTCGGCAAACTGCGGCTCGCGAGCCACATGCGGCTCTTTGACCCCTTGAGTGTGGCCACGAAGTTTCAATTGCACTATATGTGTGCGCCCACACGTGGTATTTTGTGGAAGAGCCACACTCAAGGGGCCGCAGTTTGCCGACCACTGGCCTAGGATGTCAAGCTCCATTTCTCTCTGGTCTGCTCAGCTGTGTCTTTGGTCCCAGTGGTTTTCTACAGCAGATGAGATCGCACAGTAAATGTTCAGTTTGTGCTGTAGGGTGGCACTGAGTGAACTAGCTGTCCATTCAACTCTCTTTACCTTTGGCATCCTAAATTAGCCTGGCTCCCAATCCATCAGACCACACATTTTGTTTGGGGTCAGAGGTTGAGGAGAAAGTACGTACAGGCCACCCCCTGCTCTTCCTCCTTTCGTTCGGAGTGCTTTCTGTGCTTCGTAGCTCTCCTCCTGCAGACTGGGTGTGTGACTCCTATCAGTCCTCCCTCTCCATTGCCCTCTGGGTCTAACTTCTTTTTTTAATTAGGTAAAACATACTAAATGTAGAAAAATTTGAAAATTCAGGAAAACTAACAAAGGCAAATAAAAATCAGCCAGAGTAACATTCCCTAGAGATGATTACTGTTAACATTTTAGTGTGTATCCCTGTCATTCACATATACTCTTAGCTATAAAAATATTCATATGGAAAGATATGTATCACAGTGTTTTATACACCTTTTAAACATATCTACACACATACAGACATGTCTATGTACACATACACTTATGTATCTCTATATATTATTATAAAGGCAACTGTGGCCTTTTTTCTCACTTTTTCATAGACCACCAGCATATATTTTCCTGTTTAAGTTGTTTATTCATAGTCTTTGCTCATTAAAAATAAAGTGGAGTTTATAGAGATATAACTTACATAGAGCAAAATTAACCATTCTTAGGCATACTTTTTTTTTTTTTTTTTTACAAAATAGTCATGTAACCATCACCACTGACAACACATAGAATAATTCCATTACCCCCAAAAGTTTCCTCATGCCCTTTTGAGTCACTAGTCCCCTCCCCATGTCCCCAACCCCAGTAACCATTAATCTGATTGGTCTCTTACAGTTTTGCTTTTCCAGAATGTTATCTAAATGGCTGTATATAGCCTTTGTGTCTGGCATAATGTCCTTTTAATAAAATTAAAGCAAAATAAATGAGATATTACATGGGTTGGTGAGGGATTTTACTGGGAGGGAAATGATGTGTGTGTGTGTCCTTTGGGGCAGTGTTGTCGGATGTACTGACACCAGGGAGAGATATGTTTTTAGTGAGGTGTTCTCTGAGGATGGTCTGTGAGCCAAGCGTTACCTTCTTCATTGTCCCAGTGTTTTGTCATTAAATTATTACTGTTCAGCAGAAGTCATCAAAATAATTTGAATATACAGCATAGTGACCCACTCTTGCAGGAAAGTTCTCTGTGCCAACTCAGTAACCATAGCCTGCTTTTTCTCCATTGATAACTTTATATTAGTTTCTTAATTATTTAAGTCGTGGAAGATAATTCTTCAGAGTTAGAATGTTTAAAAATACATTTCTGTAGAGTTATCTTTCATGGATTGCTAAACATTGAAAGTATATGTTTTTAAAATAAATGTATTTGTTGTATAATGGAACTATCCACTGGCTCTCTCCCCTGCCCCCCCATATCCCATCACCCCAATGAAATTTAAGAGTTGAAATTGTTTTGATTGCTACTGTCATGGGTAAGAACTCTTGCATTGAAATGGGTAGGCTCATACAACAGTGGAGATATGAACCCTACATTTCTTTCCTGGTTACAAATGGAATCTATGCTTCTGTGAACAGTATAGATAGGTGTGATGTAGAAAGTGAAAGTCTTCTGTAATCTCCCTACTCATGAAAATTGCAGTCAACTATTTGGTGACCATTCTTCCTATTTTTTTTTCCTATTCATAATGCGTATGTAGTAGTATTACTTAAATATGTAAGTACTTTAGGGATTATGTCATTCAGATATCCTAATATCGAGTTTCCTTTCCCAGTACTCTCCCTGGGAGATAAATGATGCTGTCTCTATTTTGTACATGTGAAAAGCAGACCGTCTGTACTTTGAGACCTAAATGGTTTACCTGGAGAAAACTTCACGGTTCTAGCTTCTGGTCGCTTGTGGTTCCTGGTTGTTTCATGGTTCTTGCTGTGCTGTTAGACCACAGCTAGTGTTAAAATGAGCAGTAGTGCCTGACTTTCAGGAAAAAACAAGAAGGAAGTGCTAACATTTTAGAGTTTTAACAAAGAGGTAGTTGCTGCTTTCTAAACAACAGATTCAGAATCACTTTAGAGTTTCTGTCAGGGGGAGTGTTTGGTGGGTACACCCAGGCTGAACCTTATGACATGACTCTGGGGAGTACTGTTCTTGCTGGGGAGTGGCCCAGGGGTGCTGTTCACATAGAATATCTTGTGAGTAGTGCCTCCAGGGCTGTACAAGGAAGTAGTACCACTTGACTTTAAATAATACTGTTTTGAACTTGATGTAAGTGGGAGATTTGAGTTGTTTGTGTTTCTCAGCATGTGGAAAATGCTATTTTTGTTGGAACGACAGGGGCACGTTTATTGTGAAGTAATGAAGCATAAGTGGAAGGCCCCTCATTGTTATGGCCTCCTTTCTAGGTCCTGGGAAGGGCTGTGGCATTTCTCTATTTGTAATCTTGTTTGTTTTTTCTCAAAGAGGGCCTCCAAATTGTTTGCACTTTAAGCCCAGCAAATTTGCTGTGCCCGTAGGCCTTCTCTCTTGCAAGGGGCCTGTGCACCTGGAGAGGTACTGATGCCCTGAAACTTTAGCCAGTTTAACTTCACTGTGAGTCTTCCCTGGTTGTTGAATGTGTGTTTCCATGTGGATTTATTTCCATATAGTTCCATACTAAGCACATTGAAGCATGCATGCATGGGCGGGAGAAAGATAAGTCAGAAGTGGCTCTGGGCATACCCAGTCTTATTCCCAAGTCATTTCACATCGAGCCTGTAGACTGGGCTTCCTAGGTAGCATTTCTCTCCATGAGTTGACACCGACCAAATCCTCACTGGCATCTCCTTTCTTTTGCTTCCAGATTCGCGGTACAGATAAAAGCAGCGTGCGGGAGTTACACATCGCATATCGATACGGCGAACACTATGACAGCGTTCGGAGGATCAATGACAACTCGGAAGCTCCTGCTCATCTCCAGACTGATGTGAGTGAGGCCTCCGGGTTCTGTATTCTCAGCTCAGAAGGAACCAGGTTGAGGGCCGGGTGCCTGGAGCTAAAAACCAGTGATGTTTTTATGGAAAATTGCCTTTAAGAATCTGTGTGGGTTTGATTTGTTTTTACTTTTTTAGCTCAGGTGAGAGTGACAGATAAAATTACTTGCCATTTTTTTTGCTTTCCCTATTAGCTGATAGTTCTGATTCCATGGATAGAATTTATATAAAAATTTTAAATTACTTTTAGTTTTAAAATTAATCCATGCTTCTGGACCTGGAGATGATTATGCTAAGCGAAATAAGCCAGTTGGAGAAAGACAAGTATCACATGATCTCACTTATATGTGGAATCTAATGAACAAAATAAACTGACAGACAAAATAGGTCCACAGGCGTGGATACATGAACAGAACGACAGATCTCAGGGGTGGAGGCGTGGGGGTGGGGGGGGCCGGACCGGAAGATATTAACACTACTCTGCTATGAATATTATGTATAAAGTTGTTTGAGTGCCTGTTTTTAATCTTTTGGGTTTATACTAGGAGTGGACTCGCTGGTCATAAGATAGATAATTCTGTGTTAACTCTGTGAGGAACTGCCACCTGTTTTCCACAGTGGCTGCACTAGTTTACATTCCCTCTAGCACTGTTCTGAGGGTTCCGCTTTTTGCACATCTCCACCAACACTTACTTTTTTCTTTCTTTTAAAATTACGGCCATCCTGCAGGTGTGAAGCGGTACCTGTGGTTTGGATTTGCATTTCCTTAATGGCTAATGATGTTGAGCATCTTTCCATGTGCTTCTTGACCATTTGTATCTTTGGAGAAGTGCCTAGTCAAGTCCTTTGCCCATATTGTAATTGGGTTATTTGTACTTTCGTTGTTGTTGAGTTGTAAGAGTTCTTTATATATTCTGGATATTAGATTCTTATAAAATATATGATTTGTCAGAATTCTTTTTGTTTGTAGTAGTTTTTCTTTTAAATATAGAATTATCATCTGCCAATAGTGATAACTTTTATTCTTCCTTTTTAACACATTGTATGCGGGAAACGTGTTTACACGTTTTACGTATTTATACGTTCTACCAGTGTAGTAGAGCGCGGGACACGTATTAATACGTTTTTTATAGACTAGCGGTAGAATGCGGGTAACGTATAAATACGTAAACTAAAGTTATCGTAATTTTACTGAACGTGGCCATTTGCGCAAAAAATTAGCAAAAATGGCCCGCGCCACCTGTTAGCGCGTGATAAAAACTACCCGCAAACAATGTGTTAATTTGATACTTCTAATTTTTTTTTTTTTTTTTTTGGCTAATTGCATTGACTAATGCCTCCCGTACATTGTTAAATAATAATGGTAGTGGTGTGTTCCTTACTTTAGTGGGCATGAGGCATCATTCTGTCGATTTACCGTGGTTATTTAGCCACACCCACACCATGAACCTGTTAGCTTGTTGTCAGTTATTCACCACTGTTTGGCAATTTGATGAGCACTTTTATGTAAGTCCTTTCTGTGCTTGACATTAGTTCTTTGGATAAATTTCAAAGACTCCTGATACACATTGCCAAATTGTTAGAATATGCTTTTATAATGAGTTGCTTTTTATTAGCACTCTATCCGGCACTTACACTTTCACATGCAGAAAATAGAAAGGTCCTTGCTCTTTTCTTGTCTCCTGCATTAATAGCAAGCAGAAGGAGCAGGGACTGAGCAGCTGAGAGGGATGCTTTTGGCTCTTCTGGTTTAGGCATAGGCTGCAAAGGCTGCATGGATCCTAGGGGACTGCTCTTTGTGGTGTTAGAGTTTGGATTGACAGGTTCCTGTGAGTGTGGTGGTGTACACGTGAGGTTGGATGAGCCATGCCACTGTGACTGTCCAGCTGGGACAGGAATTCAGAGCTTGCTTGATTCAGGAATTCACAAAGGGCCTAGGGAGCCAGCTGAGAGGCGTATGCCTGTTTCTTCGAGACGCGCTGTCCTGCTGCAGGTGCTGGGGCAGAGGATCACTTCTGTTGCTAGGCTCATGCCTCTGGAAATCAGCAGCCATGGCCAAAACGTAGGCATCTGGAAACTGAAGGAGTGCTAATGCCATTCTTACTGAACACTTCCTACCGCATCATGGGCCGTTCTCTCTAATACTTCTATTGTAGACTGGCTGAACTATCTGCCGGGGTTCTTGATCCAGCATCTAGAAGGGTTCAGCAATCTGGAGAAGGGCTGTGTGTAACTTAATAGAGTCCAAAGACAGTATAATTTTGAAAGGCATTTGGGGGTCAGAGGAGCTTAGCTAAAAGGAGCTAAATTCTCCTCGTCTCAGGACCCCTTGCTTTTTATTAACACAATTTGTCCTAAGGCAAGGTAGAGATATACACATCAAAGGGTAGAGTTTCCGTATACACAGTCCATTGTCAGATTATCAGGTTTTGGTGAAACTGCCTTCAGCTGTTCAGGTGTTTGGCCAGCAGGGGGCAGTAACATGTAGATTGAGATGCCCTTAGCTGTCTGGCAGCAAACAATCATCCTTTTCAGGTTTGGGGAAATGCCCTTCAGCCATTAGAGATGCAGCCCTGCTGTCTAGAATTGGCTTCCGGCACTATCTGGATGAAATTTAGCCTAATCATAGCTTTTAAGATTGTTTCTGGAATTTCCCCCCTATATATGTGAATGTTTTTGATATTAGAGTGTTTTCCTATGTTGAAGATTCTGAACATAGTTTGCAAGAGTTGCATGGTGATAACTCTGAATATTCCTTTTATAGTTTCAGATGCTTCATCAAGATGAATCAAATAAAAGAGAAAAGGTCAAGACAAAGGGAGTCGACTTTGAAGATGACCTGCGAGATGAGGTGGAAGATGCAGTTCAGAAAGTTTGCAATGCGACTGGCTGTTCAGTTAGTATTTCTGTCACGCAGTGGCCCTGGTTTATAAGCAAGCGTTGCTGTGTCTAGTTCCCCTGCTAGTTTTGTAGCACCATTAGCATGCCAACACCTGATGGGCCAAAACAGGTCCATATGCTATTTGTAGTTTGATGAGGTGGTGTGATATGACTTAATGAGAGCTGTTCATTCATTTCTCTCCTGTTTGCTAGACTTTACCCAATACTGCTCAAAATCCTAAGGAAGTATGTGGATTTATTTTTTTCTGATTCATGTTTGTACAAGTAAAAGCATTTTAAAAGGGAATTAATTTATATTAATTGGTTTTTCACATGACCAACATTATTGAAAATTGACATTTTCTAAATGGAAAAGGTCTTGAAACCTTGTCTTAATCCTCATTATTACATTATTTTGTTTACCAAGTTATTGAAATAGTGAGAGAGGGAGGAAAGTGTTCCTAGAGTCTTGAAGTGTTTCTTTGTTTCTTGGATAGGATTTTAATTTGATAGTCCAGAACCTGGAAGCTGAAAATTATAATATTGAATCTGCAATAATTGCCATGCTTCAGATGAACCAGGGGAAAAGAAATAGTAAGTCCATGATTGATATTTATAAGCTTTCAAAATGATTGTATTGGTGATTTTTGATCATTATTGGTGATTTCTCAAATATTGATGTTGAATCAAGTCACAGGTAGTAATTATTCTGTCCTTTCCCTCACTCATTCAGCACTTTACTAGGTTCTTGTCCTGCATCTGGGAGAGTGTAGTTTGGGGTGGGGATGGGGATGAAGGTGGTGGAGACTGCTAGGGGAATGCGTGAAAAGGCCACCTAACCCAGTTTTGGAGGGATGGTGGGATGGAGAGTGTCAGGGAAGACTTTATCCTTTTAGAAATAAGATTCCTTCATAAAATCAAACTGATAATTAAAATTGAACGGAGAGAAAAATACCTTATTTTTCTAATGGAAATATTTAGATTGCTAACATCTGCCAACTGGTGCTAATTCAGAATTATTTTCACTTGAACTGAGTTCAATTTTGTGACACAGAGGAAAGCAAAAAGATGTGATGTCTTAACTGTTTTCTCAAATCATTTATTGAAAATAATTTCCAGCCCGGCCGGTGTGGCTCAGTGGTTTAGCATCGACCTATGAATAGGAGCTCACAGTTTGATTCCCAGTCAGGGCACATACCCGGGTTGTGGGCTCGATCCCAGTGTGGGGCGTGCAGGAGGCAGCCGATTAATGATTCTCTCTCATCGCTGATGTTTCTATCTCTTTCTCTCTCTCCCTTACTCCCAAATCAATAAAAACATATTTAATAAAATGATTTCAAGACTTATTATGTGCCAGATACTGTTCCTGGCATAGTTTTCTATGTGATGGGGCATTTTATTACCCACTTTATATATATGCTGTGCCTTTTAAGAAAGCAATAGATAACTTGGTCTTTGTGACTTTAAAACAGCACTGTTCAGTGTCTGTGCTGTCTAGTATGTTGTGTATTTGACATGTGGCTGAGACTGAAGAATTAAATTTTAAATTTAACTTAAATGGTCACATGTAGCTAGTGGCTCCTCTACTGTATGGCACATCTTTAGAGCCTGTTTTATTTTTGGCTGCAAATGAAAAATTTCCCCCTAAACATTTATATTAAGAAGTGGTTTGTCTAATGAAACAAAACAGTCTGCTGGTCGGAAGCTGATGGCAAGGTTGGCCAGCAGGTTACTGTTAAACTTACCTTCCAAATTTTACCAATATTTTCCCTTGTGTTCCCTGCTGTATTGACTTGATATTAGGAAACTTGCTCTCCATATGACAGTGAACGAGGGACCCAGGTGCTTTTGGAGTCATTTAACAAGAATCGAGTTGTGTAACTCTTGGGTTCTCAGTTTTAATAAAATGTCTTTCTTTGGAAGATGCAGAGGAGAACCTCGAGTCCAGTGGCCGAGTGCTGAAGCAGAGTGGTCCTTTATGGGAGGAGGGTGGCAGTGGCTCCAGAATCTTTGGAAATCAGGGCTTAAATGAAGGCAGGACTGAAAACACTAAGGCGCAGGCCAGCCCTAGTGAAGAAAACAAAGCAAATAAAAACCACCTCCCAAAGGTATGGAAGAGGGTTGCCAGGGCAAAGGGTGGGCTGCTGTAATTTGGTGGCAGTGGTGGGAACGTGGAGCTCATTTTAGCGTGTCATTTTCTTTCAATTTATAAAGTAGTAATTGTAGGAACTATGGGGAGTGCATAAAGGAGTAGCAGGAAACGAAATGAAGATCTCGTTTGTCCTGTTTAGTGTACGCAGTGATGATGAAGGAAGTGCATGCTGGAATTGTACTCTGGGGATACATCCAGCCCTTCCCACCTAACGCCACTGTGTGGATGGCTGCTTTCCACGGGAATTCACGCTATCACATCCCATTTTTATGAATACCATCACCTGCAGTGAACACTTGCATAGTTTATTTGTATGAATCTGTATTTTGCATTGCTTTCTTGGCTAGAGTCCCAGAAGAGGGCTTGACAGGTTAGGGGGCATGGATATTTGAAAATTTTAAAGGCTTCTTGGTAAATGGTCAAGAAGTTGTACATCTTCCTCCCTCCATGCCCACAGGTAATATATGACACCATTTTCAGGACTTTCACCAGAAGTTCTGAGCTCAGAATGCAGCATGAGGTAAAAAGCTACAGGCAGAGGCAAAAATGCGGAGTGAGTTAGGATCACCTGAGCGTTAAACTGCAGAGGAAGGTGACCGGTGGCCTGTTTGCGGGTTGTCTTTTGTTGGACCAGGGTTCATGTTTTTTAGGTCATTTTGAATTGGTTTATGAGGAGCATGGGATTGATTGTGTTTGCTAGCTCAGCAAGGGGCTATACATTGAAATGGAGATTTGAGCAGTAATGGAAACCACATCCTGTTTGGTCTGGTAGGTGGGTTTTCTCTGTTCTGTCTTGTTGAAAGGCGGCTGTGCTCTTTGCCTGTCAGCCCCTCACCTCCTTCCGCAGACCTCACCCAGCACCTTCTCTTTCAGGTCACAAACAAGCAGCGCCGAGAGCAGCAGCGCCTAGAGAAGAAGAAGCGGCAGGAGGAGCGGCACCGGCTGAAAGCCCTGGAGAGCAGGAGCAGCCACAGGGACAGGAGCGAAGCGGAGGCCAGCGAGCAGGTCACCTTGGTGAAGACCTTCGCTGCTCTCAACATCTGACACCACTGCCTGCGGGAGTCGTAAGAAGCGAGTGGAAGTGGTGTGCTGTGCCCCGGCTTCCCAGGAGGCGGGCCTTAGGACCATGCACAGAACCCACCCAGGGGCGCACCCTCGGAGTTAGTGTCTTCAGGCCGCCTCTTTTTCTGTCAACGTTTTGTTAGTGATGTGTTTTATTTTATGAAAGTTCAGTGAAGCCACTCATGTTCTGTGATTAAAAGGTTGAGTTTTAGGGTGGAGAGTAGATCAGGGAAAACCTTTTAGGTATGGTTTGATTTGTCCTGAAAACAAAAGAGTTCTGTGACCCTGGGATCTTCCCTTAACCTTTGGGGTGAGTTTTACTGAAATTGTTCATGAAGTGGTTTAGATTAATTGTTAGAAATGCAGAATGACAAGTTTCCTTTGATTCTCTTTCATTTTCAAACAGATATGTTAATATACAGGATAGTTTGTAAATGATCTGCGACTCAGGAACGTGTTTAGGTTTATTTTTCTTTTAATCCAAGGTAATCAGAAAATATTTCAGGAAGTGTTCTCCCAAAGTGATGTGAGGGAGGGTGTGGCCTGCAGTCCAGCGGGGAGTAAACTGCCTCCCTCCTTCCCGACCTGATGTCATTTCAGACGGGACGCAGGTGCTGCTAGTTCCTTTACACTCAAGCCATACGATACATGCGCCTGACTGTTAATTAAGCCTGGGCTTTGCTGCAAAATCGATAGTGTTGTTGAGCTTTTGGACTTGTTTTTGGAAGATGGGAAGATAATACAGTTGTGGGATTCTGACAGTATGGAGAGTTGTAAAGGGAGAAATTGAGGGGCCCTTGAGTGTTTGCCTGGGAAGAGTCTAAAGAGTTATTTGACTTGTAGGAGAGAATGCTGGAAGAATATCTAAGGTTTTTCACCTTCACATTGTAAATAACTGTTTCCTTCCCCACTTTTCTAGACTTAGCTGCCTTCAGAAAAATAAAAGGTAACTTGGCCTGTTGCTAAGTTTTTTAGTTTTGTGAAAATGGAATCCCATAAAATGCTGCATTGATTTCTCTTTATACAAAACCCTTTGGGATTCTGACGTTGGCAGAACTCTCCAGCGCCCATCCCAGACTGTCAAGGAGTTGGGTGGGACCAGCAGGGCAGAGGGTGTGCTTTGGCTGAGGACTCGGGGTGACTCCACGGTTCTGAGCGAGACAGATCTGAGCAGTGGAGAGCCGTCATTCCTAAAACCGACTTAGGTGGATGTGAGCTTTAAAACTGACGTCAGAAGTGGCCAGCCTTGGACAGTCTTTGCCTTTGGGGGACCTAATATTTCAACAAATAAGGTATGCTGAATCAAAAGGTGAATTGTTACCTCCCCCACCTCAGATCTCAAAGGCCCGAGGCAAGGAAACTATGAGAGTACTGACCTGTGTAGGCCTATCGCCTGGGCTGGCCCTGGATTCATCCAGTTGTCTGTCAGGGTGGTTTGCTTTCTTCAGATTAATGATGTTTTAAATTTTTGCTTTTTTTCTTTGTGGTTGGAGCATCAGTTGTCTCTAGGAATTGCTCCCAGGACATTATGGTTTGGGCATCTTCCTGGAACAATACATTGTAGTACTTAGCAGGCTGAGAGGCTGCACAGTCTTTTCCTTGTACCTTGTGGAGTCCTGAGTGTGAGCGCTAGAGCTCAGTGCGGGTGAGGGCCGGGTCCCTGTGGCCTCACTGTCCCCAAGGGTGAGGTGAGGGCTTTCATCTCTGGGCGGAGTCCTCACTCTAGCTGAGCTGCTCTGAATGGACATTCCTTGTCTGTTTTGTACTACGAGAGTGGGGGAGACCACATTGTCTCAGAACAGGCAAGATTGTGTGCCACAAATTCAGCAGAATTAGGAGTCAGAAATAGCATAAGGGAGACCCATTGTCCGAAGTGGTGGAATTGCTTTATTTACTTGGTTAATAAAGGTGGCCTTGGGTGCTACGGGTCTTTAGAAGTTTTAGAAGCTGCTAAAAAATTATTCTATATAATAAAACCCTAATATGCAAATTGAAAGGCAGAATGACCGGTCGCTATGATGTGCACTGACCACCAGGGGGCAGACACTCCACGCAGAAGCTGCCCCCTACCCCCTAGAGCAGTGATGGTGCCAGAGGTGACATGCGACTCATTTTTTTGGTTGATTTTTCTTTGTTAAGTGGCATTTAAATATATAAAATAAATATAAAAAATATAAGTCTTTGTTTTACTATGGTTGCAAATATCAAAAAATTTCTATATGTGACACGGCACCAGAGTTAAGTTAGGGTTTTTCAAAATGCTGATACGCTCAAAAGGTTCGCCCTCACTGCCCTAGAGGGAGGCGACCAGCGGCAGTTGTGGCAGTTGGGGTGCGCGGAGTGCCCAGCTGCTGCCATGGGGGGTGGGGGGGTTTCTGATCTGATGTTGGGATGGGGGAATATCCATAGGAGGGTATGCCCTTGAATTAGCAGGACCATAAAATTTAACCCTAATACTACCATTAGCTGGAGAGATTAGAATATTGAGGCTACAAATCTGCAGTTTATTCAGCTTGGTGGCACTGGCCTTTCTACTTTTGCATTTGTAAGATCGAGGTGTGGGGAGCAAATGCACTTCCCGCTGGACGCAGGGACTTGAGTGCCAGCCTTATGTGCATCCCCAGGTCGCCGGCAGACGCTTCCGTGACCAGGGGCTGTAACCAGGGATGGGCTGGCTGAGGAGTGGGCTCTTCCTCCCAATGCAGCCACCAGGGCCGCGAGCCACAAAGACTGGAAGTGCACCTTGCTTGTGGTGGCCTTCCGCTTGTGACTCCTCCCGAGGCCCTGTGCGCCCCGCCCTGCGCTCACCGGCAGCTAATTGGTCCCCCCAACCTCCCATGGCCCTTCCCCCTGGCTGGCCCCGCCCTCAGTTGGGTCCCCCCCACTCCAGACCCTGACATCTCCTGAGGGGTCCCGGATTGTGAGTGACTATGTCATCTACACTAATAAAAGAGAAACATGGTAATTGGTGTACAACCGCTACCCTTCCCATTGGCTAACCAGGGCGATATGCAAATTAACTGTCAGCCAAGATGGCGGCCGGCAGCCAGGCAGCTGAGAACAGGAGGCTTGGTTGCCCCAGCGATGAGGAAGCCAAGGTTCCCCGTCTGCAGCTGCGGGAGCTCTGAGCTCCTGAAGCAACAACTCCAAAAGATACAATGTTTCAATTATAGAAGCTAAAAGATGGCGGTTAATTTGCATACTCAGGCTCCAAGCGGAGCGAAGCCAAACAGCCCTGAAGCGGCAGGAAAGAGAGGCCTCAGGGACCCGGGAACAGTGGAGCAGACAGGCCTCCTGGCCCGGGATCAGAGAAGCCCAGAGGCCTCCGGCCGGGATCAGCAGAGCCGCGAGGCCTCAGGACCCCGGGATCAGCGGAGCTGAGAGACGTCCCGGCCCCGGTTATCAGCGGAGCCGAGAGGCCTCCAGGCCCGGGATCAGCAGAGCCGTGAGGCCTCAGGACCCCGGGATCAGCGGAGCCGCGAGGCCTCAGGACCCCGGGATCAGCGGAGCCGCGAGGCCTCAGGACCCCGGGATCAGCGGAGCCGTGAGGCCTCAGGACCCCGGGATCAGCGGAGCCGTGAGGCCTCCCGGCCCGGGATCAGCAGAGCCGTGAGGCCTCAGGACCCCGGGATCAGCGGAGCCGCGAGGCCTCCCGGCCCCGGATCAGCGGAGCCGAGAGGCCTCAGGACCCCGGGATCAGCAGAGCCGAGAGACGTCCTGGCCCCGGTTATCAGCGGAGCCGAGAGGCCTCCCGGCCTGGGATCAGTGGAGCCGCGAGGCCTCAGGACCCCGGGATCAGCAGAGCCTCGAGGCCTCAGGACCCCGTGACCAGCGGACCCGAGAGGCCTCCCGGCCCCAGTTATCAGCGGAGCCCAGAGGCCTCCCGGCCCGGGATCAGCAGAGCCGCGAGGCCTCAGGACCCCGGGATCAGCGGAGCCGAGAGGGGTCCTGGTCCCGGGATCAGCGGAGCAAGGAGACCTCCCAGCACCGGAATCAGGGTGACAGGGGGGAGCTCCTCAACCCCCTGATCGACCCTGCTCTGTGCGTGACAGGTGGCGCTGCAGCCTCCCTATTGACCCTGCCTTGAGTGTGACGGGGCGGTGCCCCAACCCCCCAATCAGCCCTACCCTGAGCGTGACTGAGGGTGGCATCGCAACCTCCTGATCTGCCCTACTCTGTGCATGACAGGGGGCGGTGCCCCAACTCCCCAATCGGCCCTGCTCTGAGCCCGACCGGGGGCTGCACCTAGGGATTGGGCCTGCCCTCTGCCACCCGGGAGCAGGCCTAAGCCAGCAGGTCATTATCTCCCGAGGGGTCCCAGACTGCGAGAGGGCACAGGCCGGGCTGAGGGACACCCCCCCCCCCCAGTGCACAAATTTTTGTGCACCGGGCCTCTAGTCTACACTAATAAAAGAGAAACATGCAAATTGGTGTCACTCTGCTACTCCCACCAACCAATCAGGATGAGTATGCAAATTAACCCAACAAAGATGGCGATTCATTTGCATATGCAGGCATGGAGTGAAGACTGAAAATAACTGAAGACTGAAGACTGAAGAGGCTTGGCTTCTCCGCTGCAGCCGGAGCGGAGAATCCAAGCCTCGCTGCTGTGGCCGGACCAAAGGCCTGGGTCCCAGGTGCCGGAGGGAAACTGGTGCCGGCAGCCAGGGGAAGGAAGGCCTATTGCGCAAATCTTGGTGCAACGGGCCTCTAGTCGATATATATAAAGAGCCAGGGTCCGTAACGTCCAAAATGACCGAAGGGATGACCAAATGTCAGGCTGCATATGCAGCAGGCTCGGGTGGGCAGGGACTGGTGAGTGGGCTGAACTGCTGACCTCTCGATCTCTCCCTCCTGCCTCCTGTGGACTGCCAAGGGGACTGTGGGCCCCAGGATGCCACGGTGGGAGGGGGCTGTGGGCCCTAACCGGGGCATGGTGGAACTCTGGGTCTCATGCGATCGGGGGCGTGGCCAGCCTAAAGCCGGACCCTGACAGGAGGGAGGAGGGAGTCCCATTCCTTGCAGAACTGGCTGTTGGATAGCTTGCTGACAGTGGCCTGCCAGCCAGGAATCTCATTTACCTGCACCCCGGACCCTGGCGATCAGGCAGGCAGAGACAGTTAGGGGCAATTAGGCTGGCAGGAGAGAGCAGTTAGGGGCAATCAGGCAGGCAGGCAGAGGCAGTTAGGGGTGATCAGGCAGGCAGGCAGGTGAGTGGTTAGGAGCCAGCGGTCCCAGATTGCGAGAGGGATGTCTGACTGCCAGTGGGATCAGGCCTAAACTGGCAGTCAGACCTCCCCCAAGGGGTCCCCATTTGGAGAGGGTGCAGGCTGGGTTGAGGGAAACACCCCCCGCCCCATGCACGAATTTCACGCACTGGACCATTAGTCCTATATAATAAAAGGCCAGGGGCCACAAGTGTAACGACTGGAATGACCGCTCAACCAGTCGCCATAAGGTGCATTGACCACCTCTCGGTCGTCCCCCCCCCCCCCCCCCCCCGTGAGTGGGGTGGCTAGCAGCGTGCAGTGGCAGGGCGGGACTGGGAACTGGCAAGTGGGCTGAATGGCTGACCTCTCGGTCCCTCCCCCCGGCCCACAGGCTCTGATGGATCAGCGATGGTGAACAGGGGAACCAGGGTGGGTGGCGGGAGGACCAGGCTAGCTGTCAGGCTGTTGGGATCCCCAGCTCTTCCCCAGCTGCGACTTCACCTCCATGCGTGTGCGCCGGGTCAGCCACTGATGGAACACGCTGCCTGCTCGGGGCCGCTCATGCTGCCGCTGCTGCTGGGGCTTGCAGCGCAACCTACCTGCCCCGGTGGTGGAGGCGGTGTTCGGCCTGGGGACTGGCAGACGGGCAGAAGATGGCCCTGATCGCAGGCTAGGCCTAGGGAACCTGCCCGCACGATTTCGTGCACTGGGCCTCTAGTAGCTTATAAACTACAGTTAAACAAGGAAGGTGACTTCTGCAGTATTTGAAGAGATCT